TATAAAGGACTATCAGAATGTATCTATAGTAGAACATGCATCAGAACCAAAAACTATGGATTTCCCAGACCAGTGCTTTTTATTTTCTTACACTTTGATGTGTACCAGAATTATCATGGGAGTGGTCCAGGCTGTCTGGAGTTTCTGCTTCAGAAGCCTTGACTGGCTTCCTTCCTTTGTCGTGTGGAGAAAATCATACCTGCCCGGCAGAGCTGCAGGCATCCGATGACCTGGCAGAGCTGAGTACCTCGTGTAGTCTCAGCCGCGTGGTAGGTATTTGGTAAATGACCATCCTGTTGATGAGAAACCCACCTTGCACATCACCTTCCCGGTCGGTGTGGCTGTGCCAGTCACGGAACTCCTCGGCACTCCCATTTGGTGCAGAAGGACCAAAGGATGCGTCCTGTCCCATAAGTGTGGTGGCAGCAGCGGGTAGGGTGATGCTATGGGCCCCCTTACAGTTGCCCGGGCGGCAGGTGGAAGAACTCTGATGCAGAACCTTCTTTTCCTGAAGTTCTATTTCCGGAAAACCATTCCTCTTCTTTCTTTCCTGCACACGATGTGTTCAGATGTTGGGAAGGAGAACCGGAGACGTGATCCGTATTCTGACTTGTCAGTGTCACCTGCGTTAGCAGAACCAAAGCGGCGGCACCGCAGTCAGCCACCAGGGCAGACGTGGGCAGAGGTGATGGCGACGTAACGGCTCTGATTTTCTCTCTGGACGAGTAGAACGGCATTCCAGGGGCTAAGAAAGGGGGTGTGGGGTGTAGACCTGAGTCTCGTCCCATCTCAGAAAGGTGTATGTTCCTGGGCAGGCGGTAGCTTCCTTACCCTCAACCTGCGGGTCAGTGCCACCTCCTTATCAAATGTCCCAGAACTCACCAGTTCAGGGCACCCCCTTCCTTCCTGTACGCCCTGGCAGAGTTGCTTTCCTGGGGTACTTACCCCATTCTGCCTTGCACTTGGTTACTCACATCCTGACTTCATCTCACTGGCCGGAAGACCTGCTAACAGCACAGCTCCTGGCCAGCGTCTGCCAGGTGGGTTTTGGGATCACGTCCCCACTCTTTGGGACCTTGGTGGCCTGCCCTGCCCTGGGCACCACAGGTATCCCAAAGCGTGTATCCCAGTTCCCTCTACCTGGCCTGTCCTCTATTACTGGCATGACTAAAGAAGTTTCAGAATGTAAAAGTGCTTTAAAAATGTAGAATGACTGTGGCAGCTGCCCCACGGCTGGGTGGATGGTGGCAATTTGAGGGAAAGAGACATCCTTCAATATGTTGGTTTTTCAGCAGAACGGGGTCCCGTTACTGGAGTCGGTTCCTTGGTGGCCAGCTGTTTGCCCTCACAGTTTCTAATGCACACCCGAGGGCTTGTTCCCGAAGCCTGCAGAAAAGCCCGTAGGAGTGAAGTGATTAGAGGAACTGCAGTTGTTTTGCTCCCTCTGAATGGCCCTCTTTCATTGGGATGTGCTGGGACAAGGGCCTTCTTAAGCCAAAATATCAGGGGAAGACAAGAGTTCCACAAGAGCCATTTGCTCTTTGGGTGGGAACCTCATCCGAGGAGGACTCCAGTCCACGGCTCTCGCAGAGGGACTCGTCGGCTTCTGCCTGGCCTTCCCCGTTTTCTGTTGGGAGCGGATGGCGGGAGCTCTGCGGAAAGTTCGAGGGGGTGTTGAAGATGTGAACGCGGCGGTCGCGAACTTTTTCTGTTTCACCGACTTCTGCATCTTCCTTCGGCCAACTCGGTACTTCTGCCGTTCAGAGGTTTCCAGCCCAAATTAGTATGTGTGACCACCCTGATTTCTGTTTTCCTACCATGTCTTGGTTTCTGGATGACACTGTCTGTTTATATTCTGAGGGTTTGGGGTTTTTGGAGGAGCACTGATTGAGGTTTTTGTCTGCCTTCAATGCTTAGCAGGAACTTTAATCTTACGAAAACTCCGCGAATGGCAGTAATCAGCGTCTGAGAATATATTTGTGTTGCGGAGATGAAAGCGTTGAGGCTGGTTTTGGAGAGGGCAGTGGCCGAACTTTTTTTTACCCTTCATCAAGATTTTTCTTAAGGGAAGGGTGGAAGATGTTTCTACTTTGTTTGTCTGGGTCTGACCTCCCATAACTTTAGTCACTCTTTTTAGGACACTAGAATCTTTTGTGAGAAGGCTGGTTTTTCTGTAGCTGGATGGTTTGTGGGTTTCACCTTCCTCGTCCTGGGCACCTGGTAAAGTGTGGGCACCATCGCTGACATGGACTTCTTAAAGGACTTCCCCGGCGGGGCACTCTGAGGTCCTCATGAATCAGCGTACTGTGCCTCTCGCTTGGAAGCCTGGCGGAGACCCGCACGAAGCCCTGGCCGTAGGAAATAGCGATCACATCAGCCACACGGAGGGCGTGTGAGGCTCTGGGCCCGGAGTGAGCTCAGCACAGAAGACGGGAAGCCGGGTCACGGAGAATATCTGCATCTTGTTTTCATAAGTCCTGTGACTGACCACGTTCTGCGGCCTCCCACCCCACCTCCCAAGAGCCATCTTGTGTGGTTTTCCTCCCGCTTAGCCCCTTATTGTATGCGCAGGACGCAGGGTGACCTCACAGCCTTGGGATAATGTGCTCCTTGGGCTTGCCTGCGGCTTCCAGCCTTGTTCTTTACAGTAAATGCCTGTTACGGGTCGTCATGGGGGAACAGAGACAGAGTGTTCCAGGGCCCCAGTTAATACAGGCCCCCGACTTCACGTGTAGAGGGGGAGGCTCTGATGCTTACCAAGCTAGGGACGCTGAGGAGGAACAGCTGGCCTCGTAAGTGATCATGGGGTAGAACCAGCCTGTTCTATTGCATTGTTCCTTTTTTTTTGCAAAGGAATATAAGGGGAATTTTTGCCCATGATTTCAAAGACAAAGGTCACCGTTGAGGGTTGGCTGTTTCCAGAGTGCTCGGGGGTTTCTGGTCAGTATGAATTTTTTTTTTATTTTAACTCATGAACAAAAGAGGTTTGATGTTGCCTTGAAAAGATTTTCCCAGCTGCTTCGATGAACCGATTATTGTTTTAAGTTTCAAGGGCTTTGGAGTTCTCTTGCACAGCTCTCTGGGATTTTGATGAGGATAAGTAGTAAGTGATCTGTGTCTCCAACAGAACAGTTCTGAAAACAGACTTGGTTGTAAAATTCGAAGGCAGGCAAGGTTGACGAGTTCTCGGAGTAGAAAAGCGTGAGGCGGTTCTGCAACCTGCCGAAATGAGACAGCCTGGATCTTAGTCGGCCAGATGGATGCGAAAGAGCTTTTTAGCTCCCTGTGGGTGAGGGTGAGACAGCAGGGAAGGGATGCTTCTCATTTCTTTCATTATTTATAATCCCGGCCTTCTCGGCACTGGAAACTTGCAGCACAAATATGGGCTATAACGGGGGGGAGGAGGGTGACTCGGCAGGACGTCCGCAGTGACAGATGAAATGCCGTACAGATGCAGGGTGTGGGGCTCATGAAATGCACAAAACCGGCCGTCAGTAATTCAAAGGCCTGAACAAGAGAGGCAGAACTCAGCCTTATGATTTAGTATGTGAGCAGTCACTATTTTTAGCATGAGAATTTAACCAGAAAAATTAACAGATTTGATGGTGGATTTGCTATCTTAGAACAGTTTTCCTGACTTCGGGAGCTGCTGACTTAAAATGCTAATTCATGTGGTGTTTTCTTAGCACCTAGAGTCATGTTCTCAGCCTAGCTGAGTTTTTTTGTTCCAGGGTCAGAACGTTTAACTGCTAATGTTAGATGTCTGGGGCAAAGGTGATCTTGCTTTTTTATATTACAAAAAACATCCTTGTATGTCTGTCAGGAATGGATTTGCTTAAGCTCAGCATTCTATTTTTTTTTAAAAAGGGCCGCTTTTTTTTTTTTTTTTTTTTTTTAGAGTTTTTTCCTTCAGGTCATTTATATCTTAATAGGTTGCTCAAAAGAGAATTATTTTTATAGTTCTCTGTAATTTGAACGGTGACTTTCTTTGACAGAATTAATAAAATGTTCTTTTTCTTATTATATAGTATGTTTTATGTGACCTTGAAAATCAAACAAAAATATAGCCACTTTAAAAAGTTAAGATTTGTTCAACATAGAAAATTTGGAAAATACTTAGTAGAAAGAAGATAATCATAGGTGGTCCAGTGCCCCCCCCAAAACCACTATTAATAATTTTAGTGTATCTTACGGGTAATTTGAGAGTCGATGGTATTTTTGAATAATTGGAAGTAATTAAAAGCTGCTACATTCTTTTTTTATGTCTTAATTTCTGCATAAACTGAAGATTTTTTTTCATAGTCAAATCATGAAGGTGAAACATAAATTTTAATTTTTAAAGTTACAGGTTGGATTTAAATGTTATTGCTAGTTAAAGTCACAAAGGCCAAAGATTCACTCTGCTGAGAAATTCACTGGGTCAACTCGAGATTTCCTGCAGGAATAACAGGGCAGCCCTGACCAAGTTAAATCACAGGCCAGTCGCCACCCACTTCCGTGAAGATGCAAACAGCTAGAGAGTGTGTAGTGTCATCGTCCCTGTCTTCCATCAAGGGGGAAGTCACCAAGAAGCAGTGAGGTTGCTACAGTCAGAGAGTTAGAAGCAAAGGTCAGCAGCGAGATGATGAAACTCACAAAGCGAATCACCCTCTCATCAGGGAGCTGTTCTCTATTTTTAGAAAATGTGGTATTACAGTACGATCCCTTTCTAGTGTGCTGCAGAAAGGGGCTCGTGGCCCTGGGAGAGCCCACACAGAACTTTGGGTGTTGTAGCAGGAACGCCGTCTCATCACGAGAACTCTCCAGCCGCAAACTTTTGGCAAAGGCGAGGTTTGGGGAGACTCCTCTGTGAACTCACCGTGAGGGCAAGCTCATCCCATCTGCATTTCACATGCCATTTGTCCCCTCTGAAGCTTTTTCTCCCCGTAGCATTTCTTTGCCCATTTTCCTCTCTGAATTATAGTCTAACTGTGCTCTGGTTTTATTCTTCCCAGCTTAAGTGAGAGCTTTTTCATGGTGAAAGGAGCAGCCCTCTTCTTACAACAGGGAAACAGCCCTCAAGGCCAGCGGAGTCTTCAGCACCCCCACAAACATGCAGGTGATGGCTCTAAGTTGATGCTTTTAAATCGGAACTCCTTTTCTGTACAATAGAAGAACCTTCCATTGTCGGCGGTGAGCAGTTCGCTGGGTTTTAAGGCCAGAGAAATCATGGAACATGGGCTTATGATGACCAGTGCAGGTAGAGGCTTAGGTGTTCTTTCCCTGAGCAGGCCATGCACCTTTTCCAGGTGGCACTGGGAGCTGGTGAGCCTTTTAAACCGTGTGTGTCTGTGTGAATCAGCAGTGTCCTGTGGGATATAAAGATTCCCTCCACACAGTGTATCAGACAGCTGCAGATTACAGCCTGGCTTTTTAGCAAATGCACCAAAATGCACCCTAGCCAGGTGTTGTCCCCTTGAAAATAACCACCTGAGATGCCACCTACCTAGTCTGCGGACGCTGTCATTTCTCCAAGTATTTGGAAAACACTTGGGGAATTTCTTTAGGAGTCTTTGGCTCGCACTCTGAAGTCATCCCTGTGATAGGAAGTCTTGATTCTGTAATGGTGAGTTAGGTTTTTGGAAGTGGGCAGAAGTAATAGAATAGAGATCAAACCAAGTGTTAATTTAGGTACAAAAGCAAACAATTGAGAAAGGCCTGTGAAGTAATAGGTCTGGTTTTCTTAGGAGATTTGACTTGAAACCAAAGGCAGTTTGAAAAGAGGAATTCCAAAAACGCTTGCATACAAGTGAATCTTTGTCATGGGTTGAGAGTTTCTTGGGCACTTCTTGGGTGGGCAGCACATGTTTGAATGTCTGGGAAGGCCTGTACCTTTGGAACAACAGGTGAAACCAACTGGCAGTTGGGGCCGGTTTTCTCGTTACCTGTGATCATTTTGTTTGGTTAACTTCAAGTTATCCAGCTTCATTTCAGATCTGGGTGCTTAGGTTAGAATTTCATACCTTACGATTTATAGCAAACACCAAGACTCAGTCAGTATTTTCACATACCGATCATTATGATCAAGATTTAGATCTGTTTTAAGCTAAGAAAATAATTGTCCTGCACAAGAAGGCGATGCGGTTTGTGGAAATAGTATTTGCTCTGGAGCCAGACAGACCTGACATCTGATCCCAGTTCTGCAACTTACTGAGCAGTCATAGGTCGACTTCCGAGCCTCAGTTTCCTAATCTGTACACTGGGCATAAAATACTGGTACCTTAGATAGTATGGACATTTAAAATTATGCACATAACATACCTATCTTCTAGTAGGGGGTGTGTGTGGGTGTGTGTGTGCGTGTATAGCTATAATTGTTACTACAATGACTTCTAGTACAATAAAGCTATAAACAGATTCTTCATTCTTGAATTTGCTAACGGTTCACCCTGTTAGGAATTTAGCCATTGTTCATGGCTTAGCTATAATGCAGACAACAGAGTGAATGCTCAGTCTTTGCTCACTAAGTATAAAATGTCCCCTTCCTCTATTTCCAAGAATAGGAGGGTAGGAAGAAAGCCCGTGGCTGGTTGACTCTTCTGCCCCTGAGGTCTAGAATGGGTGGTGAGCTGAAGAAGACAGAGGGGCCGCCAGCTGTCCCCGGGTGCTTGGTAAATAGCCTTGGGACAGGCACAGACTTTACATTAGTTCCTTTTTTTCCTAGAAATACCATCAGGTTCCCTAAGTGAACCAGAGCCCCCACACTAATCGCTGTGCAGAGCCTAGCACAATCGAGGGTTAATTCTGTCCACATAAAAGTAATTCAGTTTGTTTCAGCCAGTCCGGTAAATTTGGGACCCTCTTCTAGGGCTTAAATTCTCTGATTTTTTTTGTGTGTGGATGTCAGACTGGGGTTTGAATTTCTGTCTGTCAGCAGTTCCGTATCTCAGCAAACAATCCCACTGAGAGGAGTTTATCTGTGTGGAAAATGTCCCTTTCATTTAGGCATTTATCAGACAAGGGGTTTGTTTGCACTTCCATCTGTGCAGTTCTGTGGCTTGGGGTGGACGGTGGGAGGGCCCAGGCAAGTGGGGAACCAAGCCGTGGTGATGTGTGGCACTGCGGCCTCAGTGACGTGCCAGGCGGGGAGCCGCCCAGGTGGAGGAAGGGGCCTGGGAGCTCCACGTCCTCCTTTAATGTGACCCATTATCTCCAGATCATTCCGTAGAAAGCAGAGCCAATGTGGGGTGTTAGACGCCATGGAATCCTGTCACTGGAGAGAACAGATGAGAAGGCACTGTTCTTTTTCTTTTTTTTTATTGTGGAAAGAACACTGAACATGAGATCCACCCTCTTAACTATAGGAGCAGGTTTTTAATGACCCGATTCCTCTCTGAGGCAGGAAGTGCAATTTGGATATCATGCGTCACTCTGCCTTAAAGTGAAAAAGATGCTTTTGCAAAAGGAGCAAACACCATGTTTTCTTTTAGAGCATTTGAAAGTGTGAGCAGTATTGATGTTTCTGGGATTCTAATTGTGATCTCTAGGGCAATTTTTAAAAAACATATCAAATTCTTTGAGGCATTGCACAAAATGGAAATCGATACAGATTTTCTGTGAGTTATGTATTGTACCTTCTTCTGGGTCAGCACCTTTACAGATGGACCTTTTCTTCAGAAAGAAACCCGTGCACACATAAAAATGTATAAGCTCGGGGGAAGAAGGCAGCATTAGTGTCATACCTGCTACTTACTGCTCATGCGCCTGGTTATGGTGTCCCTCTCTGCAAATGGGCTCCCTTCTGCTGGGTTCTCCTGCGCAGCCACTGCTCCCTCCAGTCCACAGACACCCCCTGGGACAGCTCAGAGAAGTTTAAAAGCCAGCCCTGGAATACTGCTTCTTAGATAATGAAGGAAAAAGAGGACATAATTTTTAGCAAGAAAGGAGAAAATGACAGATTGTTGTCTACTAGAATTATTTCTCTGGGCGTCCAACATACAGCTGCTATCTATAGAGTCATGTAAACATTCCCCCCACCCCACCCCCAGTTATAGAAATAATCTCTCTGTCTTAAGGAGAATGCAGAAGTGTTTGAAGAGGAAAAATGATACTCAGTCCCTTTTCTCTCAGATTAATTCTTAGCAAATGCCTTCCTTCCAGCCATGGCTGTAGTTTCTGGCCACCTCACCCTGCCAAGTGATGTTTGCGTGAATAAAATAACATTTTTCTCTTGGTTTGTCTATATTTTCAAAATTTCGTATTAAAAAACAAAAAAAGTTGGCCGGGTGCCATAGCTCGCGCTGTAATTGCAGCACTTTGGGAGGCCGGAGGTCGGAGGATCACTCGAGGCCAGGAGTTTAAGACCAGTGTGGACAACATAGCGGGATCCCATCTCTACAAAAAATAGAAAGATCAGCCAGGTGTGGTGGTGCGTGCCTGTAGTCCCAGCTGCTCGGGAGGCTGAGGCAGGAGGATTGCTTAAGCCCAGGAGTTTGAGGTTGCTGTGAGCTATGATTGTGCTACTGCGCTCTAGCCTGGGTGACAGAGCAAGACTCCGTCTCTTTAAAAATAAATAAATAACCCTATATTGCACGTATTTCAGAAATTAAGAACAACTTGTAATAAGATGAGTTTGGGAATAGAGTAAGGGAAATTAAGACTTTAAGTTTTTGTGATGTTTCTCCGGTGGCGTAGGTAGAGAAATGTTAACTTCTAAACCTTCTTCCAGGCCCTCAAAATCAGCCTTTCAGAGGTTTCTTTCCAGAAAGCAGGTAGGAGACATTTTAAAACTTTTCTTTATTGGTCCAACAGGTGACCTGCCCCAACATCTTCAAGTGATGATCAACCTTCTGCGCTGCGAAGACAGAATCAAGCTGGTAAGAGGTGACAAGAGTGGCAGGTGTTGGTTTTTAATCGTGAAACTTGGTGGGGAGCCATTCGTGAACAACGGGGGAGAACACTCTTGCTCTTATGTCATGACAGCTTCTCCCAAATTATTGGCATAAGCCAAAGCCACATTGGCTCCTCTGTCCCCCAGGGGGCCGCTCGCTCGTATCTCACGTTTTTCCGCATCTCCTCCGAGCCAAGCACTGTCCCTGGTCCTGGGGACATAAACAAGACCCAGCTCTGATGGCAAGAATTTCGTCTTCACTTTTAACTCCCAGGGGGAAAGGTAGAAAATGAAAGTTCTTGATCTTGGCAAAGGGACCGAGGCACCCCCTCGAAAGGCAGACCGGTGAGGGCATCCCTGCCATTTCTAGGCCGTGCGCTTGGAGAGCGCCTGGACAGACCGGGTCCGCTACATGGTGGTGGTGTACAGCAGCGGGCGCCAGGACACGGAGGAGAATATCCTGCTGGGAGTTGACTTTTCCAGTAAGGAAAGGTGAGTCTAATGGGATGGTGGTTTCCTTCTGGGAGGGGGACAAGAGTTGCTGCTGGTTAAAGGTTTCCGTGGCCCCACGTCCATCGGAGATGAGGGAGAAACGTGTCCTGATGCGGGGAGGGGGGGATCGCGGCACCCGGAGCAGCAGGGCATGCCGTTTCAGCTCTTGTGTGCCTGGCACTGTGCCAGATCCAGTCTCTGCCCTCGAGGAGCTCAGAGTCGACGGAGGATAGAAAGTTTCACCGTGTTCGAGGCTTAACACTGGGTGCTGTGGAGAGAGAGACACCTTTGCCAGGGGTATGTCCTGAAGGAGAGGACGGCAGTGGGGAACGTGAAGGACAAGCGGGGCCAGCCGAGAGAGGCAGGGAGGACGCCTTCAGTAGGTGTCGTCGCATCAGGCACTTGATCCAGTAGTGATGTTCCACGGATTCCCAAGGACCTGTGGCAGGTCCTTGGGCAGAGGCTTTAAGAGAGGCTTGGATTTCCCACTCCCTGAGGCCAAGTGAGTTTTATCCTAGTTCCTAGTATATGTGTGTGAAATGCAGGTGAACGGCTCACCTGGCATCTAGGATTAAATGAATGCCTGTGAGGTCATTGCAAAACCTGGATTTGTGACGTCAAGGTTGAGCAGACTTCCTTTATTCATCATTCGTTAATCTACTCATTTGTTAAGCATGTGATTTATTTGTGTTCTCCTGTGTAAGAGGCCATGGCCTAGGCCCAGGTAAATGAAAGAAGCGACAGTACACACAGTTTTGGCCCGAAAGAGCCTGTGAGCTAAGTGTGGAAGACAGCCACAGCTAGACGCCAGGGAGAGAGGTGGGGACGCCGTGGCTGGAGTCTGGGAACACGGGAGGGGGGTTCGCAGCGAGCACGTGCTCCAGAGGATGCGTTGCCTAGGACGGTCTCCGTTCGGGCGTAGAAGTGGAGCAGGGAGGTGCATTTGAAGCCTTCCAGGCAAAATCAGTAGCAGAAAAAACAAGTCGCAGAGGCCACGAGTGGCGTGGTAACCGTGCACGCTTGTCTTGTTTCTCTGAGAGCTGCTTTGGGTCACATGAGAGTGACCAAGACGTTGTTGCTTGTTAGAAGTGAATGAGCGAAAAGGGGAGGACATTTCTTTCATGAGCTCCCTCATCCAGTACATAGTAAATAGTATTATGAGAAAGTTTTCTGCGGTACACGGGGGGATTGGAGTTTGAGCTGGCGTGTGTGGTCTTGGGCTGGCTGGGAATCTGGGTCTAGAATATGTAGCATACAGTCTGTTAGGAGGTGAGCTCTGAAAAGCCACTTGGAGACTGGTGGGCTTCTTCCGATGTGTCAGGAAACCTCCAGGCTCTCAGCAACGGTCAGAGCCCAGGCCAGGCACAGTGGCTCACACCTGTAATCCCAGCACTTTGGGAAGCCAAGGTGGGAGGATCACTTGAGGCCAGAAGTTCGAGACCAGCCTGGGCAACATAGTGAGATCCCATCGCTACAAAAAATTTAAAAAATTAGCTGGGTGTGGTGGTGCGCACCAGTAGTCTCAGCTACTCGGGAGGCTGAGGAAGGAGGATCCCTGGAGCCCAGAAGTTTGAGGCTGCAGTGAGCTGTGACACTCCTGCACTCTAGCCTGGGTGACAGAGTGAGACCCTGTCTTTTAAAAAAAAAGAAAAGAAAAAAAGGTGGTGAGAGCCCCGTCTTTGTGGCCATTATCCACGTGGTTGTGAGGCTTAGAGGCACTGCGTGTTGAACAGTGTTGCAGTCACAGTTGTTCACAGGATTATCCGGCCTCCCTGTGTTCTCTCAGGGGCAGGGACTAGGTATGGTCCATCCCAATAACACCTGCTGATCCTGAGCTGAATCCGCCCCAGGGCACCCATCGCCCCGACCCTAACCACGGAGCCGATAGAAGTCCAGTCCTCCTCCCCTCATCTCTGCAGCCCGTCGCAGGGAACACCTCCACGAACATCTCGTTTAATCCTTGACTCTCCCCGTGGGGCGTAGCCCTACCTCACATTTCACACATGAGGAATCAAAAGCTCACAAGGCAGAGCCGATTAACACCAGAGCTGTCCCACTAAGTGGCTGAGCTGGGACTTGGGCCTTTTACTCTGGACCCACGGATTGAGTAGATGCCACTGGTTCTTGCCCAGTGTGCTGTGGCTTCCTCCTTTACACCACTTGCTCGTTCATTCACTGCCAGGTTTGTCCTGTCTGTACCTGTTACCTCTGTGGTCCCCAACCCCTGGGCCACAGACTGGTAGCAGTCCATGGCCTGTTAGGGACCGGGCCGCACAGCAAGAGGTGAGCGGTGGGTGAGCAAGCGAAGCTTCATCTGTGTTTACAGCGGGTCCCCATCACTCACATCACTGCATAAGCTCCGCCTCCTGTCAGATCTGCAGCGGCATTAGATTCTCATAGGAGTGTGAACCTACTGTAAACTGCGCACACGAGGGATCTAGGTTGCCGGTCCTTATGAGAATCTAATGCCTGCTGATCTGAGGTGGAGCTGAGGCGGTGACGCTAGCGCTGGGGAGCGCCTGCAAATACAGATTATCATTAGCAGATAGGTTTGACTGCACAGTAAATGTAATGCACTTGAATCATCCCAAAACTGTCCCCCACCTGAGTATGGAAAAACTGTCTTCCATGAAACCAGTCCCTGGTGCCAAAAAGGTTGGGGACCTCTGTGTTAGCTCTTTCCCTGTGCCACGTGCCCTGGGGCTGCATCCGTGAGCACAACAGAGGTCACAGACGTGCATTAGACCCACATTCCTGCACACACGTGCACAGGCATACGCTCTGAGTTCGTTCTTTCCCAGCTGGGGTGGACAGACCCATGCGCTTGTTCCTGCCCACCCTGGGGTGCCCTCCCTTCCGTCCTGCCCCCCTTTCCTCCCCTCGGCACCCCGCCTTTGATTCCCTTCTTGCTGTGCTCTGCCCTCAAACCCTAGGATCCCCGTGCTCTCCACGCCGGAGCTACATCCTGCCTGCAGGTGCCAACCCCAAGGCCAGTGCTGGTCTCCTGAGGTCAGAGGGGACAGTCATGAGGCCACACAGGTGAGCAGGGGACCGCCAGAGATCAGGAACTAAGCGGGCCTTCCTGCTGTTGGGCCTGACGTGGCTGTCCTCCGCACCTGGCATCCTTGGGGGCTGGCACCTGGGTGTTCTGTGGCTCCCACGCTGCCCGGGCGCCGGGCTCTCACATTCTAACCTGGCTTGAACACAAAGCCCTGGTCCCTACCAGAAGGCTTTGGCCTGCTGAGGGCATGATATGCTTGTTTTTCTAAATTCCTGCTGTTAGATTGTGTTTCCTTATTCCAAAAAAAAAGAGCTGGGTGCTGCCCCAAAAGGCATCTTCCTGGGGTTCCCGGTGCGAGAGTCCGCGTGCGGTGTTAGGAAAGACAGCGTCGGGATGACGGCGGCTGCAGCGGGCTCGCGCTCCCACTCAGAGCTTTACATCTGCACGTGCTTTCTTAGGAGACCACAGCAGCCACCCCACACGGGTTCATTCTTGGATTATTAATTTTTCGTTTTGGACTTTGGAACGTTTGAGTGCCGTGAACACATACCGCTGTCTTCCATGTTTTGCCATCTGTAAAGGATGCCCACAGTGGCATTTTGGGGCAGGCCTACCTCCTGCCTGGACCTCCAGGCCCCTCTGGCTTCTCTGTTCCTGCTGTCCACGCCCCAGGGACGTGGAACCTGCTTTCTTCTCCTGTAGTTGCTCTCGCCCACTTTATCCTTTGGGGTCATTCTTTCCCTGAAAAGACCCAGTTTCCCTAACTGCACGTCCTTTCTCCGCTCCCCATATATAGAACTCATGGGCCCTCCTTCGTTGTAGAAATATTATTGTTAATCGCTATAGGACTACTGGAAACTCACAGAGTAACAGCTAGGGGCCAATAGGAGATTTGCGGAGTTGTTACGGTGGTGCATGGTCCCCGGCCCGTGCTCTTGGCTCTAGTTTAAGGCCGTGAGCAGAAGCCCTCCCTGGGCTCTGCCTGTTGGTGCAGCGCCCACCAGCTTCTTGCCCACGTCTGTGTGAGAGGGAGGCCGGCTTAGGGGTTGAGGTACACCCCTTGCTTCATACGGGCAATCTCAGCCCTGCCCCCCTGGGCCTGGGCCCCCAAATTCCATGCTCTTTGCAGCTCTCTGTGCCATGTCCTCCCCTGGCATGGGTTGTTGGTGCTCAGGTCTGGTCTTCCGGGCCTGCCCATGCATCCCAGGGCACCTTCTGACCTGGCTTTCTGCACACTGGAGTTGGGCTCCAAAGGGACCTTCCTTGCCTCTTCCTGGCACTTACTTGGCCGCCCAGCTCCCAGAACCCTGCGAGCCGCCCCACCACCCCCCAGATAAACTTTACTTTGCAGCTCTACGTAGGAAATGCATTTAGCCCGTCAGGAGTGGGTAGGACTGCAGGTGTGACTTGAGCATTCGCCCAGCCCCAAAGCTTAGTCTGATTGGCCGGAAGGGCTGGAAGCTACCTTCCCTTCCCTGCAGATACAGAGGCACAGGGTTGAAGAGTCCCACGTGGTGGGCGCTGCTCTGGAGGGGGAGCTGGTTCTGGGAGGTGCCCCCCGAGGATGCTGTTACGCGGCAGCAGAGACGTAAGCACGAGATTCCTGATGGTCGTTGGGGCTGGCTCTTGGCATGGTGACAGCAGTTTCTCACAAGCCGAGTCTTTCTTACGTGCCTGAGGAATCTTTGTAATGATCTGAGGAGCCCCTGTGATAAAGCCCTTTCTTCCCCTTGTGTTTCTTCGGTGGCGCCAGTCTCGAAAGTGGCTGTGTCTCATTTCCCGGTTCGGATGGGCAAGACCAGGTTGAGTCAGTTTGTAAACCGGCAGCTACACTGAAGGTAGCACAGGTCCGAAAGTGCACCCCAGTAATGGTGTGAGCACGCTCCCGTCCCCCGTCCCCCTGGGACGGATAATGCAGGGTTGGCTCTCGCTCTTCACTCGTGTACCCCCCGGCCTTTGACCAGCAGGGTACCAGCTCTCGGCGGCTTCCCCCAGTGGCAGTGTGGGCGTGCGGTCAGCTGCTTGTCCCTTGTACCCCAAGAGCCTCAGCCGAGCGCTGGTGGAGTTACATCCACAGGGTTGTCCCAGACCTGTGTCTTGTAGAATTCAGTGGCGAACAGTCCCTACCAAACGGCCTAAGTTAGAGCCTCTCCCAGATGCACACCCAGCAGCCTGGCCTGTGCCGGGGGGAGCGGGGGGTGGTTCCCCGCTGTGAGCCGGAAACTCGCAGGCGAAGAGACAGAGAGGGAAGACTGTGCGCGCACACCTGGGTGGGCGCTGACTCCAGACGTCTTCTCTTCCCCCTCGTAGTAAAAGCTGCACCATCGGGATGGTCCTCCGACTGTGGAGCGACACGAAAATCCACCTGGATGGAGACGGGTAAGGAGATCTCTTTAAACGATTCTCTCACTGTAGACTTTGAAACACGAGTTGGTTTGGGCACCCTTGGGTAATCGTTAGCCACAGAGTCACATGTGGCGGGTTCCTTACATTAGGAGAAACAGTGTTACCCTCCTGTGGGCCGCACAGCAAGGTACATTTGTACGTTTGTAAGTTCTGTAGGGGGTCACGACATATCAGGGGAAGCACGTTACAGGAGATTTGCTGTGTGAAGTTCACAGCCGCGGTAAGCTGGCATTCATCCATTTACCTTGATTGGTTAAGCAGATACTCGCTACGCGCCCTCCCCGGGCTGGCGCCTGGAAGGCCACGGCGAATGTGGTACCGCAGGAGCTCACCGGCTTTGGGGGTCCGGGGAGAGACATCCTACAAACAGGTGTAATAGTGTTGCAGGTGTCACTTTAGGGGCTGCAGAGGAGGAATGACCTAGTCCAAGCTGTGCAGGTAGCCAAGGGTAAAGGGCCGTCTGGTTCCGAGTGCGTTCGCTCCCAGGGACGTGCCTGGGAACCGTGAGGATGGACAGAGACAGAAAAGGACATTAATTGTCCCTACCGTGGGATTCCAAGCAGGTCACAGTTAACATTGCCTTGTAGATAGGATGGGGAGGGAAAAATAAAAAATTTGATCTGTTGAAGGGTTGGATTGTGGGGATATATTTCCTTTTTTTAAATTTTGTTTTCGATGATATATTTTTCCATGCTGTTCCAAAAAACAGCAGGTGGGGCAGGTAGTAGTGGGTGGGCAGGGATGGTTGGGGGACATAAAAGAGATGTCACTGGATGCTGTCCTTGCCTGGCACCTTTTGCTGGGCTTTCAGTGTTTGGTAGGTCTCTTATTGCTGGGTTAAAAACAAGCCTTCCTCCTTCAAGAACGTATCCTTTTCTGCTTTTGCCCGCTCTGCCGCGGCGGGGTTGGTGATCCCTCATCAGGCAGCATGAGATGTACTTGTTCTCAGGGTCCACGGCGGGCCTATTGCCATCGTCTCGAATTGATTTGATTAGCAGAGTCTAATTTCCCACCACAGATATCTTTCCTTTTGTTTTTCATTCTCAGTGGATTCAGCGTGAGCACAGCAGGAAGGATGCACATATTTAAGCCTGTGTCTGTCCAGGCCATGTGGTAAGTATAGTATAAGGTTTTAACTCCTTAGAAATATTTTCTTACTGGTCATGCACAGTGGCTCATGCCTGTGATCCTAGCACTCTGGGAGGCTGAGGTGGGAGGATCACTTGAGCCCAGGAGTTTGAGACCAGCCCGAGCAAGAGCGAGACCCCCATCTCTACTAAAAATAGAAAAAATTAGCCAGGTGTGGTGGCACACACCTGTAGTCCCAGTTCCTCGAGAGGCTGAAGCAGGAGGATCGCTTGAGCCCAGGAGTTTGGGGTTGCTATGAGTTAGGCTGCTGCCACGGCACTCTAGCCCGGGCAACAGAGCGAGACTCTCTCAAAAAAAAAAAAAAAAAAAGAAGAAGAAGAAATATTTTCTTATCTAATAGCATGAATAAAAAACCCCTTCTACTTAGAAGCTCATTTAGATGTGCAGGCCAGTGTGTATGTGGCAAAATAAACATAAAATTTGCCATTTTAACCATTCTTTCAGTTACAGTTCAGTGGCATTAAGTGCATTTGCAGTGTTGTACAACCACCGCCACTAGCCATTTCCAGAATGTTTGCATCATCCCAAAGACAAACTCTGCACCCACTAAACAGTGACTTCTTTTCCTTTCCCCCAGCCTCTGGTAATTATTCTACTTTCTCTCTCCATGGATTTGCCTATTCTAGAGACCTCGTCTAAATGGAGTCATACAATACCGGTCCTTTGTGTCTGGCTTCTTTGACTTAGCATGATGTTGTCAAGGCTCATCCATGTCGTAGCATGTATCAGAACTTCGTTCCTTTTTAAGGGTGAATAATATTCCATTGTGTGATTAGACCACATTTTGTTTGTCCATTAATCTGTCGATGGACATTGGGTTGTTTCCACCTTTCGACGCTCATCAGTAATGCTGCCGTGAACATTGGTGTACACGCATCTCAGTCCCTGTTTTCAGTTCTTTCTGGCAGATACCAAGAAGTGAAATTGCTGAGTCATATGGTAATTCTATATTTAGCTTCTTGAGGAACTGCTCAACTATTTTCCAGTGTCTACACCATTTTCCAGCCCTGTCGGTAAAACATAAATGTTCTAGTTTCTTCATATCCTTGTCAGCTCTTGTTAGTTTTCTTTTTAACAATCACCATCCTAATGGGTGTGATATGGTCCCTCATTGTGGTTTCGATTTGCATTTCCCTAATGACTATTAGCGTTGGACATTTTTTCATGCTTATTGGCCATTTGTTTATCTTCTTTGGAGAAATGTCTATTCAAGTCCTCTACTCATTTCTAAATGGGGTATTTTTTTTTTATTGTTGAAGGTGTGTTTTTACAGATCTCTAGCTCCTGCTGGCAGAATGTCACTTCAGCGTGAATTCTTCTGTTCCTTGTGCCTGGCACACAGTAGGCACTCAGTGTGCTCAGCGAAAGGAGCGGCACTTTGCTAGGCGCTAGGCATGCAGGGAGGCACCACACAGATGCGATTCTATCTTCACGAGGTTTAAAGTCTTTCCAGGGAAGTGGTCACAAATACATGAACAAAGTCATGTGTCAAACCCAGGGATGTGGGGGAGGGTGTTCCCACAGGGTGCAGGGCTGCAGGGTCCGGGTGCCTGGGTAGGGGTAGGACTTCGCCCGGACACTCTCTGCTTTGGGGATGAGGTAGCCATGGATGAAGGCTGCATCGGGTGACGACATGACATCCACACCTCCTCTTAGAGCCTCCTTCTTCCTTGGAGGGTCGCACACACTGCCCAAAGCAGCAAACTCGACACAACAATCTCTCAAATTATCTGGAAAAAAACTCAGGAGAGGCTGGGCGCGGTGGCTCACGCCTGTAATCCTAGCACTCTGGGAGGCCAAGGTGGGAGGATTGTTTGAGCTCAGGAGTTCGAAACCAGCCTGAGCAAGAACGAGACCCCATCTCTACTAAAAATAGAAAGAAATTAATTGGACAACTAAAAATATATAGAAAAAATTAGCCGGGCATGGTGGCACATGCCTGTAGTCCCAGCTACTTGGGAGGCTGAGGCAGGAAGATTGCTTGAGCCCAGGAGTGTGAGGTTGCTATGAGCTAGGCTGATGCCATGGCACTCTAGCCCGGGCAAAAGAGTGAGACTCTGTCTTGGAAAAAAAAAAAAAAAAAAAAAAAAGCTCAGGAGAGAGCCGGTACCATCTGATGAGAAGAGTTCTGCCCAATGTTTCAAAATAATGACGCTTGCTTCTGGGACAATGAGAGTTGTGCAGAATTCTCCCAGGGCCAGAAGTTAATATTGTCCTTCTTTTTTAAACATCCTCTATGACTCCACACTGCAGTCAGTTCAGGTTCATTTGCAGGAAAATCATGAAATGATCATTCTGGAACACAAACCAATAGATGTCCCAGATGTTTCTCTGTGTCCCTGCAAAATTTGTTGTCTTTTTCTCTCCAGGCAAGTAAAAAATAGGCCCACATGTTTTTCCAGAAACTTCGGAATGAGAACTAAATTTAGTACACATTCAGCTCCAGTATGTTCCCTCAGCCAGCCTAGAGATAGGACAGAGACATGCAGGTGGGGAAGGTGGCGTGGATGGCAGGATTCTTTCTGCCACCGTGGAGCCGTTCTTTGATAACTCCATCCCTCCCAAGGCCCCACTCTGCCACCTGTCGTAGCCTGATTTGCGCCATTCGCCAAGAAATTCTCAGCCTATGTTTTTGTAATAAGAAGTAAAAGAGGTTGGCTAAATAAAATGTATACATTTTTAATATTGTTCCTTCTGCTTCCCTAAACCTCTTCTTCAGTTAATTTCTATATTAAAGTGAGTTTCTAGAACTCATTTCCTTAAGAAATCTAAGCTGTTGTAACATTGACTGGGGGATAATCCATTAGCAATGGAAGTATTTCGAATGCAGTTGGATGTCTCTGTTGCATACGAAAGACTTTTCCTTCTGGCTGCGAGGCTGAATTGTGGTTCTTACACGTTCAAGGTTACCACCGCTTGAGAAGTAAATCTTAATTCTTTGGAGTTGATGGATGGAATGTCAAACAACATGTGAATCAGTTTGATTGGAAGAGTGATGAAGTTTGTTGTTTGTTTGTTTTTTCTCCTTTTGGACATGACAAGGGCTGTTCTGTCCACTCTTGGACTCGGTCAGTGCCCGTGGCCCGCTCTGTGACCTGGAATATGGGGTCTTGGGCTGCCGTGTATCCGCCGCACGCCCTTGTGTGTGAGCCCGGCTCCAGCAGGGAGTCCTGTAGGAACGGCCCTTCGCCTGGCCCCGCCTGAAACCCTTGTTTGGAGGGGACACCCCAGCCCTTCTTGTGTCTCCCCAGACCTGACCCTCTCCCCTCCTCACCCCAGGTCTGCCCTGCAGGTGCTTCACAAGGCCTGCGAGGTGGCCCGAAGGCACAACTACTTCCCCGGGGGCGTGGCTCTCATCTGGGCCACCTACTACGAGAGCTGCATCGGCTCGGAGCAGAGCCGCATCAACGAGTGGAACGCCATGCAGGACCTGGAGTCCACGCGGCCCGACTCCCCCGCCCTGTTTGTTGACAAGTAAGTGCGGCACCTCCTGTGCTAGCCCAGCCGCACCCACGGGCACCTGCCTCGCCGGCACCTATCCTGTGCCCGACCCTGCGTCTGCGCGAGTCGTACCTCCCCCGGAGCCCCTTGACTGAGCCGCCTTTTCAGAACCGGCATTTACAGCAGGGGTTCCTAGCCTGGGCCCATGGGTGGTCTTTGGCAGCGGGGAGGGTCTGTGACCACCCCCTGCCCACTAAAAAATTATAGACAAATTTGACGAATGTACTTCTGGGGAACAGGTCCGTAACTTCCATTGGAGTCTCATAGGAACGTGTGGTCCTGTGTGCCACCAGCTCCTTGCAGTGCTCTGTGGTCTGGCCTTTCCTCTTCCGTTTGCCAGAGGCTTAATTCCCAAAGCCGCCTCCTCTGCTCTTAGGAGAATTATGAATGCAACCTCTGCCTCCTTGGATCCCAGAACCCAACTGCTGAGGGCAGCCTGCCTTCGAGCAGCAGCAGTGGTGGTGAGTCACGTGACCTGTGTCATGTGACTTCTGGCAGTGCTGACGTGGCCAGAGGCCACACTCAGTAAAGTCTAGTTTGAGAAGAAGGAAGCGGATCTCTCCTCTCTCGGTCAGGACCCTGCTCCCCCCAGAGCATCCCCTCTGGGATGCTGCAAAGTTTGAAGAGGGCTGTGGACCAACTACAGTGTGTCGAGGGGCAGTGGCCGGAATGACTGGAAGCCAGGTTGTGCGAGGCCTCCAGGAAATCACGAGACAGATTGAGGAGAAATGACCGTTGCCTTTGAATTATTCGAAGGGTTGTCACGGGGAAAGAAGGATCACCCTGGTCAGTGTGGCCCCTCGGGTTCAGACTAGGGCTGGTGCGTAGAAGTTACAGGGAGATGCATAAACTTTGATTTTGTGTAGGAAGGAGATGATGGGAGCTGGCCACAGCTGGGCCAGGCTACCCCCGGGCGCAGTGAGGTCCTCACACCCAGATGTGTTCAGGCAGAGGCTAAAGGGCCCAGGGGCGTGGGGAAGTCACGCTGGCGATTCCAGCGTCCTGCCCTGAGAGCATCTGCCACTGCGGGGCCTGAAGGAGCAGTGAGTTCCCAAACTGTCCTCTGTCCGCCTGATCTGCCGTCCACCCCGTTGACTCCCGTGGGAACCCTGGAGATGGAACAGGTTCTCCGTGTACCTCTCCCTGCCCCCTGAGAACCCGTGCACCAAGCAGCGAGCTCTCCATGCCAAGGCACGTTCTGTTTAGACCCAGGAGCATCTGGTCTTTCTGTAACCCCTGACCTCAGTCTTCCCAGACTCCTGCACTTGCCTATAAACATCATTTCTCTCCAGGCCAACTGAAGGGGAAAGGACTGAGCGCCTCATCAAAGCCAAACTCCGAAGCATCATGATGAGCCAGGATCTGGAAAACGTGACCTCCAAAGAAGTAAGAAAATGCTTCTCTTCTTAGCAGAGTCCACGTGGCGTTCGCTTGTCCTGGGCTGTGGGAGCTGGCCTGGCACTTGGTTCTCTTTGCCAATCTGGTCCTCAGCCTCAGAGGCTTTTGTCTGCCCCGTTTTGCAATGGCAGCAGGGCTTAGTGGAAGGAGCATGGACCTTGGAATCAGACTCTAGTTTGATTCTAAATCTGCCACTTCCCGGCTTTGAGACATTGGGCAAATTTCTTGACCTCTCTGAGCCTCACCTGTGTGACCTTTGGTGGCGATTCCATGAGATCTGTGAATTGCACCTGGGAGCATTGATCCGTCAACACCTTCTCCTCCTGGCTTCTGCCCCACCTTGCCTTGTGTTGTACTTAAGAGACAGCAAACTTACTTCTCTATAATTGACTACAGGATTACAGTTGACTGGCAAGCTGTAAATTCCGGACTACCTTCTTTCTGCCTTTTAATGTGTTCCTGGATCACTTGTTTTCCTCATTCTGTTGCTGTGTGTTCAGGGAATGCAATGAATTACAGTAACAGCTTAAATAAGGTAGATCTAAGAGGAGGAAGTTGAAATTGCCATTTTAAAAAGTCATATATAATCTTTTTATTAATTCATACTTTTAAAAAATCATATTGTGATACCTTCCCAAGCAAGATGAAACTGATGTTAGATCCTGTGATGTATTTGATATGTAATTGTAAAAGTGCTTTAAATTCAGTAGAAAAGATCTCATGGAAATCAGATGCCTTATTTGAAATAATAAACTTTCCCCAGTTGGATTTACTTTCAGGCTGAGTCACCTGCATTCCTGCCACCCACGCATGTGTGCTGCATGTGTCTGAATGTGTTACTCTAAAAAAAAAAAGCCACCTTTTTTGGAAACAGCCACTGTTCGTGTTGTAACTTTAATTCTTCGGAGGTGGACAACTGCTGCCTTTAACAAATCACTTTTCCTAATATTTTCCACTCCACAGATCCGTAATGAATTAGAGAAGCAGATGAACTGTAACTTGAAAGAATTTAAGGAATTCATAGACAACGAGATGCTACTTATCCTGGGACAGATGGACAAACCCTCCCTTATCTTCGATCATCTTTATCTCGTAAGAGGCACAGCTGTGGCGGGACCTAGTTTGGGGGACGTGACTCAGACCTTGATTGTTTGGTGCTCGCAGCAAGTCAGAGAGGAAAAGCAGACAAAAAGCTCGAGTTCCCGTAGCCTCCGTCCCGACTGACGGAAACCCCCAAAGTTCTTTGGCCCCTTCTCCGGCCTGCAGACCACTGGTCTGCTCCGGAGCCAGATGTTTGAGACGTGGCTCTCAGCCGAGCTGCGGGGACTTGCTTGGGAGCTGTATGGCACGAGCAGCCGGCGAGCGTTTCCTTTGTCATCTTCACTCACTCACACAGGCCCTGTCCAAGTGAGTGGTGTGCGGGCCCCAAAGAACCCCCGTTGCTAAAGGAGGCATTCTCACCAAACCCCAGAGTTATGCCCAGGCACCCAGAGACGTGAGACACAACAGGGAAGACAGATCACACAACTGAAACGTAGCTTCCCCTCCGAGCGTGTCCGGACAGCTCCTCCCGAGGACTGCTCCCAGAGCCCTCTGGAAGAATCTGCCCTGGTCCTGCAGCTTTGGGTGGGTTGTGCTGATTCCCTGCACCTCCGTGGCTCGCTCAGACCGTCTTAATGCCATAAATCTCCATAGAAGGCAACTGGCAAGTTTTCAGAGGGAGAGAGACTATAGAGAAAGGCCCGTTACTAAAATTAGAGCGGCCGCACGGTGCAATGAAAATCAACCCACCAGGGCCCGAGGTCCCCCTCCTCAGCCTGTGAGGCCGAGTGTGACTTACAGCAAGTCACTTTGCTGCTTTTTTTTTTCTTCATCTTATACATCATGGGACAGTTATGAGGATTAAATAAAATACAAGCCAGGCACGGTGGCACAAGCCTGGAACCCAGGAGTTCCAGGCCATCCTGGGCAAATAGCAGGAAGAAAAAAAAAGAAAGAAAGAAAATACATATCTAAAGCATCCAGCACAGTTTCTGTAGGTGCTAATGAATGGTAACCAGTGTTAGAGGAGAAAGTGCTTCTTGGGAATGCCGAGGAAGCGTATTTGCTGCTAGAGACATGAATGACTTTGTTTTCTGCCTGTGGGGAGTCATTAGAGTTCTCCAAACGCATTAATATATGCCATGGTATCTATGTAGACATATATAGACAGATATATTTAAATGTATTTGTATGTATAGATCTATATAGATTTCATATCTATACATTAGAATGTATATATAAGTGTGAGGAGTTGAAGACTCTATCTTGAGAGAATCTGGGAAGTACAGGGCACTTCTCCCTGGAAAGTCAATTGATTTCTCTGGTGACAAGGGGAACATAAGGCACCTTCGTCCCGTCTTTGTCCACTAGGTGGTGGTCACGGCCAGAGGACGCTCATAGCCTTAGTGGAGCTTTCCTTATTTTTTGGTGTGGTTTGGTGCTTTATGTCACTTTTTCCATGAGAGATACTAAAGGAATTTTTATGTTTGAGCCTCTCCCTCAAATATGAAAATTCAGCTAGCACCGCATGTTGCCGGCTTAACTGGGGCCCGGCAGCCCCTGGGTCCTGAGGGGTCTGCCCTCTTGGGAACTTAAAAGAGGAGGTTTATAGGGAGGTGAAGTCAGATTCTTTTGCTCTTTGTGACCGTGTCTTTTGCACTTCCTAAGAGCAAAGTGATTCTTTTTTCTTTTTTTTTTCCCCCCCCTTCCACGTTCTTTGAATGCTTAGGAATTGTTTGTTAGTGTGATACCAGTTTTTAAAGTATTAAATTAAAACAATGTAGAAAGTCCGGAAATATAAATAAATCTAAAGGAGAAGAAAAAAGCATTCCCAATCTCACGAATCCAGAGGTAGTCACTGTTAACATTTTGGGGTATTTATTTTCCCATCTTCTTTTTTTTGGTTTTTTTTTTTTTTTTTTTTCAACAGATTATGGGTGTACATATGTTTAGGTTATGTGTGTTGCCCTTGGTTCCCCCCCTCCCACCGAAGTCCGTGTTTCAAATATGTCCATCCTTCGGGTAGTGCGCATTGCCCTCCTTAGCACTCCGGGAGGCCAAAGCTGGAGGATTGCTTGAGGTCAGGAGTTCAAGACCAACCTAAGCCAGAGCGAGACCCCGTCTCTACTAAAAATAGAAAAAATTAGCCAGGCATGGTGGCACATGCCTGTAGTCCCAGCTACTCGGGAGGCTGAGGCAGGAGGATTGCTTGAACCCAGGAGCTGGCTGGAGGTTGCTGTGAGCTCTGATGACGCCACTGCACTCTAGCCAGGGCAATAGAGCAAGACTCTCGTTCACTCATAGATAGGTAGATACAAAGAGAAAGATCATACTAATTATGTTTATATAGTTTCATATCTTGCTTTCCTTTAAATACTCTTGCCTTATGTGGTGTTTTCCTGTGTCATTAAATATGACACATGATTTGTTTTCATCCTCCTTCGTGAGGCTCCATCATCATTTATTTTACTCATTTCTTCCCATTTGGCCTTTGGGTTCTTTCCGCTGTTTTATAAATAGCCTTAAATATCCTCATACCTAAATCTCTGTGTGAATTATTATTTCCTCAGGATAACTTTTTATGAGTGAAATTACTGGGTCAGAGGGTTGGAACTTTTTCAATATTGCCAAAATACTTCCCAGAAAAGGTAGAACGATTCCTTCTTCAATTAGTAGTGTGTGAACCTGCCCTTCCCTGGGTGGGAGGTCGCAGGTCATTGCCTCTGACCGTGGGACGTCACTGCAGTCTTAGGAGAGGAAGCGGGGAGACGGGGAAGCAGGTTTTCCTGGGCTTGTTCTTTCCCTGAGGCCAAGAGGCCAGTGAGGGCCTGGACTCTTCCTGCTCCCCAACCACCGCGCACATGTTGATGATGCTCTGAGAACTTGGGAACCTTCTTGAAAATCAGCCACTCTGTTCTCGCTGTTCTCTGAGGCCGAGGGTCTGTGAAATAAGGCCTTACCCCCAGGGCTGGGGCAAACTGCATCCCCTGAGCAGCTCGGAGGCCGACATGTGACACTCACGGGGGTTTGTGTGATCTGTCTCCCAGGGCTCTGAATGGAATGCATCCAATCTGGAGGAACTGCAGGGCTCAGGGTGAGTCTCCTCCCCTTGTCTTTCCCTGTCCTTCCAGGCAGCTTAGAATCCCTCCACGCTGCCATCGGGGGTGAGACCTTGGGCTGCCTGCCTGTCACTGCCTGCACCCTGGTCTCTGAAGTGGCTGCTGGGGCCGATTTGCATAGCTAAACAGATGTGCTTCAAATTGCCACGTGCTGAATAATTCATGGGCTTTAGATTTTACTGGAGTCTCCCGTGATTGTGTGTGTCAGGGAGGACGCTTCTCAATCACACTCACACGGCGTAGGACAGCATGGATGATGCGGATGAGGCTCTGAGCCCCCTCCCACCGCCTGGCTGCCCTGCACAGTTGCCCAGAGTCCCGGCGTGGATACAGAGATCTGCTGGCGGTTTTGCAAGTCAGCAACCCTGATCCCGGGACCACTCCTGGCTCTTTCTGAGGTTATGCGTTTGGGCCTGGTGGGATTGCAACTAAATACTCTTTGTTGGCCAGAAGCATATGCCTGTCTTAGTCTGAGAAATGCCTAGCTTCAGGAATGAAAGATGTTTGAATCTAGACCTTCAAGAACAGATGTCTGGACTTTTTTTTTTTAAACAACATAGCCACAAAATCACCATTCTGTGGGTCTAACATGATGGTATTCTTGAATTACTACATTTAAAAGTCAAGACTAAACAAATCTTAAAATATATCCTTAGAACTACTGGTTAAGATGTGTTCCTCCAGCAGAAAGTATTCTTAACATGTAGGGTGATACTCTGTGTGTTTTCCATCTTGCTGGGAATAAATGAGTGACTTTTAAAGGTATTTTTTTTTAAGCATGTATAAGTATTCTCTTATGAAACCTATTTGAGATATTTTCTAACTCCTGAAATTATTTTGGTCTTCTAGAAATAAAAGTATTAAGTTTGTAGAACTACAGAACCTGGGTCAGAAGACCCTCTGAAATACTTATTTATATCTTGCCTTGTTTCAAAACGGATTTAAGGCAATTCCCAAGGATATAAATAATGGATGGATACATTCTGCTTTTTAACTATTTAAGAATAGAGACTTTTTTTTCAAAGCCTCTATATACTCATAATAGTTATGAATTTTGACACTTTAAGGAATTTAGAAATCTAAGTAATATATATTTAATTTCTAGAATGCTTTGAACTGAGTTATCTTTTTATAGGGCTTTTTAAAAATAAAGAGATTTGATTTTTTGGTATAAATACAATCCATTCTCATCGTATAAAGGGCATTTAGAAAATACAAAGAAAATTACTATTAAGGAAAAACAAAAGTTCTACCACAAATGTATTACCCTTTGTTCATATGTATTTAATTTTTTTTTTTCTCGGCCAGTTTTTCATTACTTTGTTTTTTATAGTTCCTTCTCCTGATTCTCCAAATTTGGTTTGTTTGTGTGTTTTTTTTTTTTCTCACTGCAGGGTTGACTACATTTTAAATGTCACTAGAGAAATCGATAATTTTTTTCCTGGCTTATTTGCGTATCATAACATCCGCGTCTATGATGAAGAGACGACAGATCTTCTCGCCCACTGGAATGAAGCATACCATTTTATAAACAAAGCAAAGTAAGTGGGCGGGGAAGCCGGGCTGACTGGCAGGTGCCGGGTAGGCAGGAACGACTGGAGACCCCAGACACAGACATCGGCTGGCTCGAGGGGCCTGGATGTCCGATGGACCTTTGGTTTTAGCCGCAGGACCCCAAACACCAGAGGGGAAAAGTTGTTGGTCCTCTCCAGGTAGAGGCCTAATGAGGTGACTTTCCCACCTGTCCATGATTGTGCCATTTGACCCCGGTTGTCACCGGCATCGGTTCCTGGCAAGGATCCGATACCAAGTGGACACTCTTAGGAGCTCTGTCCCTGGAGAGTTGCTGCACCAGAGGAGGGCCAGGGGAGGGACCTGGGCTCAGAGTTCCTTTGGGACTCCTCCCCAAAGAACCCGGCCTGTCTTCTGTCCTCAAGTTAGCGTCACGTGGGATGGGACAGTCTGGCCTCACCCGTCTCTTGTTCTCATTTTATTCTCCTGCGGAACAACTGTGCCTTATTGGAGTCAAGAACAGAAAGAGAGAGCCCTTTGAGAGGCTGTCAGGAGAAACACCCTCTTCTGCTTTGTGCTCCTCTGGGTCAAAGCTTCGTAAAGTAACCTTACCAAATCTTAGTTCTTTCGAATTCCCAGGGGACAGACTCAGGACACTCTTGAGGGAGACTTCAGACGAACAATCAAAAAAAAAAAATGCGCTGAGTTTTGGAGAGGGATTGTAAGCTTGGGGTATGGGAAGCTGGAGCCTGTTCCCACCTGGTGGGGCTACCTTCTGTACACATAAAGTTTCACAGGTGCCACCTTTCCCAGCCTGGCCTCCCTCGCATTCTTGAGCAAGCAGTACCTAGACAAACGCTGTTCTGTCGGCCTTGCCGGATCTGGCGAATCAACCAGGCCTGGGCCAGGCCTGCCTCCTTGCAAATAACAGATCAGCCTCATCTTCCTCCCCTCCTTGTCCCTCTCTGGCCGTCCTGCTCCTGCTCCCTGGCACTCCCGTCTGACGAGTATCTTGCTCTCCCCAGGGCCTTGCCGGTTTCACTTCGCTGACCCCATTTTTCTCCAGTAACTCATTCGCTGTCTCCATCTGCTTCAGCAGCTGAGTAGCTTTTGCAGAAATCCCTTTAGCTGCCCAGCTGCTTCCCAGGAAAGGGTTTTTTGGTCCCCTAGCCTATCCCGGCCACGTGGGAAGGTTCCCACTTTTGTCGGTGAAGGCAGCCAAGTTTTGGAGCTCTCCTTGCAAAACTTGGCTGGGCCAGAACAGATGTCTCTTGATTTCCCATTGTGTGCTAATTGATTTTGCAGTGAAGTTATTTCCTTTAGAGGGTGTGTAGACATGTAAACATTAGGACACAGGAGGTTTTAGGCAGTGAGATAACTTCAGGGTTTAAAAAAATGTCAGCTGAGTAAAAGTGGAGAGAATGAAGTTGTTGAAGCTTTTTGACCCCCCCCCGCCCCCCGCCCGCAGGAGGAACCATTCCAAGTGCCTGGTGCATTGCAAGATGGGCGTCAGTCGCTCTGCGTCCACGGTCATAGCCTACGCGATGAAGGAATTTGGCTGGCCCCTGGAAAAGGCATATAACTACGTGAAGCAAAAGCGCAGCATTACACGACCCAATGCGGGCTTTATGAGGCAGCTGTCTGAGTATGAAGGCATCTTGGACGCAAGGTGGGTGCCAGCCTCTGCCGCCAAGCCAGCCGGCTGGGCTGCCGTCAGGATCTGAGCATGCTCCCGTTCGGCCCGGCAGCGGCTTCCGCAGCCAAAATCCCGCCTCTCTCAGGGAGCCGGTTTGAGCAAAACAACTATTGTTTGGGCTTTGATTAGCCGTTTCCAGGAGGGATCTGTTTTGATTTTGTTGGCACACACATAAAGCTGGTTCTGCTGCCGCAGGGAACCGTGCCTAACTTCTGATCCGAGGCAAGTCCTCGTGTGTGTGGTATGGGCATGTGTCTGTCCCGTTTCCTGGGCATCTGCTTCCTGTGGAGCCCTGCGCACTGGCTCCGCTGCAGGACAAGTCCCAGCACTGCAGAGCCAGACGGGTTTCTGCCAGGCGAGCTGGGCAACTTAGGGCAAGCGGGTCAATCTCCCTGAGCCTCAGTTTCCTGTTCTGAGTTAAGCATCAGTGCCCACCTTAATGTGGATATTAACACTATAGGCGCTGGGAAACACAGCATGGCGGCTCCTCAAAAAACTAAAAATAGAATTACTGCGTGAGCCAACAATTCCACTTCTGCATATATCCCCAAAAGATTTGAAAGCAGGGTCTCAAAGAGGCATTTGTCCACCCACGTTCATAGCAGCATTATTTATGATGGCCAAAAAGTGGAAGCAACCCAGTGTCTACTGATGGATGAATGGATAAACAAAACGTGCTACACCCGTACGATGGGATGCTACTCAGCCTTAGGAAGGAAGGGAACGCTGACGCAGGCTCCAGCACGGAGGAGCCTCGAGGACATTATGCCGAATGAGATAGGCCAGTCACAGAAAGACACATACGGTGTGATTCCAAGTCACACGAGGTACTTGGGCTGTCAGAGTCGTAGAGAGAGAAGGTAGAATGGGGAAGGAGGGAATGGGGAGTTAGTGTTTAATGGGGACAGAGTTTCAGTTTTGCAAGATGAAAAGAGTTCTGGAGACGGATGGTGGAGATGGTTGTGCAGCATGTGAATGTATTTAATATTACAGAACTGTATACCTAAAAGTGATTAAGATGGAAAATTTTATGTTATGCATAGTTTACCAAATAAATTGACAAAAAAAAAAAAAAAAAGAATACCCACCTGATAGGGTTTTTCGAGGTTTGCGTGAGCCCTATGTAAGTTTACCTTGACAGATACTTTGCCAGAGCTGGCTCACAGGAAATAATAAATATAGCTTCTTGCAAAAATCTCTAACTCCCACCCCATAAAAGGTCTGCAGAGTACAGGTTAGCCCCCTTTTCTGGGGACAGGAGTGGGTTAACTTGTCACCTGTCACACTGTCAGTGGACAGCAGAAGGGAGTGACACATGCAGGTCCATGCGCCCAGGGTGGTGGGGGCTCCTCAAGTGACCCCCAGCAAATCCCCACTGCGACTCCAGTTCCCCAGATCAGAATCCAGATCAGAATCCAGGAGCTCGGGACTCACTTTCTCCCCGTTCCCCTCCTATTCAGACGAGAAGCAGATCTCCCTGGAGCATTTCTGATCCATGTTGGAAGAAAGCGACAGGCTAAAGCCCAATGGCTCCGTGGCCAAGTCTGCAAATGCAGGAGTGCCCTGGGAGGGTCCAGCAGGGTCTGGGGAACAGCTCTGGCCATCTCGGGGCTCCTCACTGTCGACCAGACAGTGGCTGGACAGGTCCCCAGGCAGGGCCTGCAGGAGCAGCCTGCATCCCGCAGTCCCCTCCCCGAGCCTGTCAGGCACAGCTGCTGTCAGGGCTCTTTGTAGCCTGACCGGGGCTCTCCAGGCCGCATCTCAAATCATAGCCCAACAGAACTTGCACAGAGCAAACAGCAATGAAGGATCGTGGTGCTCCCTTGCACCAAAGAGCAACGGCAAATCCTGCATTCCCATGGTGTGTTTGTGTTTCCTCCCCCCACCCTTTTTTTTTGTTTGAGACAGAGTCTCTCTGTGTTGCCCAGGCTAGAGTGCAGTGGCATCATCATAGCTCACAGCAACCTCAAACTCCTGGGCTCAAGCGATCCTCCTGCCTCAGCCTCCCGAGTAGCTGGGACTACAGGCATGTGCCACCATGCCCGGCTAATTTTTCCATTTTTTGTAGAGACGGGGTCTCACTCTTGCTCAGCTGGTCTCAAACTCCTGAGCTGAAGCGATGCTCCCGCCTCGGCCTCCCAGATAGGATTACAGGTGTGAGCCATGGCGCCCAGCCTCCTCCTCTATTGTCTTAACGCTCACAGCTCCATGATGTTGGCCTTACTTTAAGGTCCACGGGGGTGACTTAGTCACCCTATTTCACTATAAACTTTTCTTTCCCTCTCTCCCTTTTTTTTGCCTTGTGTCTCAGAAAAAGATATTATGAAAACAATAGTATTCTGTAATCCCTTTGACCTAAACAGATATTTCCAGTTGTCTGGGCTCTTCCCAGACGGATTCGTGTGCGTCACGTGTCTACGTGGTTACGGCAGCGTGTGTAGATCTTCGTGTACTCTCCGCTTTCATCCCCTCGATTTCCCTGTGATGTGGGCGGGAGAGGATTGTTATTCTCATTTGACAGATGGAACATAAGTGACTGGGTTCACAGAATGAGATGGCGTAAACACAGATACACAGAGCGTAAGGCTAGACTCCCTTTGTGTCCCTGTCACGTTGTCTCCACGTGACTGAGAGTCACATGAGGCTTCCCACGCAAGCCATGGTGATTCAGGTTCCCATGCTTTTTCTCATCCTCGTGTTTCTTGGGAAGAAATGAACAGAGGAGCTTTACGTAAGCGAGAGCCGCCACCAGCCCCAACCTCGGGCTCTCCTTTGTTTGCTCACCCCCACGCCTCTCCCTCCAGGCCCCTCTGGGCACTGTCCTGCTCTGCTCACCTTCCCCTACCCTTTGTCCCCACAGCAAACAGCGGCATAACAAGCTGTGGGGTCAGCAGACAGAGAGCAGCCTCCAGCCACCTGCAGATGGCCCTGCGGGACCCGGCGACTTCTCACCAGAGACCTTGGACAGCACACCAGAGACCCGGCTGCCCTGCCTGGAGGACACTGCCCAGCCCGGCTTCCCAGGCATCAGGGCCCCGGGAGGGCCCTCTCTCCCCTGCTGTTTCCGGAGACTCTCAGACCCCTTTCTGCCTTCCCCTGACGGCGAAACTGGCAGCTCGGTCCAGCTTGAGGACCTCGAGAGGGATGCTCTTTCGGAGGAAGCAGCGCAGCCAGTAGAGACGCACAAGACAGCCAGACATCCCCAGGAGGGCCCCGGGCTCTGTGAGAAGGACGCCAGGAAGAAACTAGAGTTCATGAGCCCCGCAGCCCGGAGGGGTTCCTTGCCGCAGGCGGAGGAGATGGACGGGGACAATGGCCCAGGACCAGGGAGGTGGGGGCGGCCTCCAACCCAGCTCAACCGGGAAAACCTAAATAACAACAACAGCAAGAGGAGCTGTCCCGATGACTTTGAGGTAGGCACGGGACCAGGGTGTGGGGCCTCCATCCTGCTGCTCCCCTCTTTGGAGCCGGCAGCTCTCATCTCCAGGGATGGGGCAGGGAGCCAAGGGCTTATTTCAGAGGGTGACTCTGCTGGCTGATTGAGCACGTGGCATGTGCACAGATGGTGGACTGGGGTCTGCCGGGAATGACACGAACCCAGCGTGCCACCTCCACCCCGCGCGTCTTGTTCAATCTTGGGCGGGGCTTCCAACTCAGTTTCTTCCTTCTTAGGTAAAATGTGAAACATAATAACTCACCAGCCAGCTTCAACCTTTATCAACATGCGGCTGTTCTTACTTCATCTCACCCGCTTCCCCACACAGCTTGGGTTATTTTGAAACCAGTCCCAGATTTATCATTTTATCCCTGAAGGCTCCAGTATGGACCGTAACCGCAGTACCATGACCACCTTCAAAAAACCGGTAACGAGCCTTCACCATCACCGAGTATCTAGTCTCCTAGCTGAGATTCTAATGCCGAACTCCGTGACTCTCTGGAAGCTGTGATAACGGGTGGATTGTCTGCAACAAGGTTTGAGCTTCCACCTGGTGCTTACCGAGCAAATAGTTCGTTGCAGCCAAACTTTTCCCTCTTCCGTCAGTGGGAGGCGACCCAGGAGCAGAGACTGGCTGCGTGGAGGTGGGCGCTGTGTGACCTGGTCTCCACGTCCACCCTTCCTTGGTGCCAGCTGGCCAGGGCCCGGGGCGGGGAGCTTCATTTCCGCTGGCCCCACCTGCCCATCCCACAGGACAGCTGTGATTCTCAAGTGGGAGCGTCTGGGATACCAACAGATGCATTTGAGGGTTAAGCTGTTTTGTCGTTAGTATCGCGGTGTAGTGCAGACAGAACTGGGAAGTGCCATCTACTGATGGAAAGATCGTGAAAGGTATTCCACACCCAATGCTAAACCATCCAGGGTTTCCCGCTTCCCTGCTTACCAGCTCCCTCAAAGAGCAAATATCCACCGAGACAAGTGAAATAAAACAGTGGACGCCCTCAGGGGGGATTTAAGCAGAGAGTGGCCAGGCCCCTCTGGAAGTGGGCTGCAGATAGGCTGGTGGGAGAGAGGGGCTGCCGGGGGCCTGAGAAGATGGTGGCTCAGAGGGTGGGGCGAGGACGTCTGGAGGCAGTGCCCGGTGCCCTCCTGCCTTGTGTCCTGCCTCGCCTCACCCTCCAGCCTGCCGCCCTGCACTGGGCCCTCCTCCCCTGCAGCTGTGGGCACGTTCTCTGCTCTCTGTGCCTGCTCCGCACCTCCTGGCCCCAGAAGCTCAGCTGAAGTCAGTTTCTCGGGGCAGCCTTCCCTCCCTCGCTGGAGGCTGTGAGCTCAACCCCCTTCCCTGGTCCTCGTCACAGTTTTCTGGTCTGTTCCCACCAGTGGACAGCAGGCTTCCTGAGGGTAGGGGCTGTGTCTTGTCCACAGCCCCCGGGTCTGATGCAAGTCCTGGCACAAGGCAGGCGCTCCATGAATGTGTGTCGAGTGGATGATTCTCTCCCATCTCCCACCCTGTTGCTCGGAAAGGTGCTTTCAGATCCCCCACCACGATAGATTTTCAATCCAGGTTTCAGAGGAACCACCACATAGACACTTTCGTTAAAGCTTCTTCCGAAAAATTTCTGTGTCAAGAATTCAGGCCTTGGGGCAGGCACTGTGGCTCATGCCTATAATCTCAGCACTGTGGGAGTCAGGGCAGGAGGATCACTTGGGAACAAGAGTTCGAGACCAGCCTGGGCAGCACAGTGAGACCCCATCTCTAAAAAAATTTTCAAAGTAGCTGCGCGTGGTGGCGCATACCTATAGTCCTAGCTGCTAGGGAGGCTGAGGCAGGAGGATTGCTTGAACCCAGGAAATCAAGGCTGCAGTGAGCTATGACTGGGCCACTGCACTCCAGCCTGGGTGACAGAACAAGACTCTGTCTCTTAAAAAAAAAAAAAACAAGAATTCAGGACTTAATGAGAGGTGATTGGTCAGGACCAAGGTCCTACTGATGGACCCAGAAGCTGGCCCCAGGGTTCCTAAGAGAAGGTTCTGTAGAGGACCCTTCCTCCAGGAGTAACGGCTGGGTATCCTTTTGACTCCCTGAGTGTTGGACCCTTCCCAAGACTTCCTACCTTGGGCGGCTTAAGCCTGCTACACAGGATGGTGTTAACCCCTGACAGTCAAGGGGAGAGCGGGTCACCCAGGCCCCACTTGCAGGGAGAAAGTGCGGGAAACCTGCATCAGCGCTTTGCCTGGGAGGCTGGGTTTTAGCCCATGTCAGGACTCTCCCAGCGGAACAGCTCCGGGAGGGAGTCGGCTGCAGCTGCC